TCAAGCTCTCTCTTTATCGGCATTTAACCAATCACATCTCTTCTACCTTCATAAGCTTCTCCGGTCAGAACCATCTTCTGAACACCCACTGAATCTACTCTCTTTGAACTCTGTCCACCCCCCACGCCATCTCAGCCCCCATTATCTCACATCTGGACTATTCGTTCATCTCCCAACTGACTTCCCTGCCTTCATTTTTGCCCCTTCCAATTAATTCTCTATGCTGCAGGGAGAGCGATCATTGGAAACCACGATTCTGACCAGGCCGTTCCTCTTACAACCCTTCACTGGCTTCCTCTTGGCCTTAAGAAACTACCCCCCTGGCTTGGGGCCTCTGAGGCCCTGGCCCTGGCCCAGTGCTCCTCTCCAGCCTCCCTCCTCCTGGCCACACAGACCCTTTGCACTTCTTCTAAGGAGCCAGCATCCTCTTGTCTCTGGACCCTTCTTCCTGCTACTCCCTCTTTCTGGGATACTCTTCCCAGCTGCTCTAAATTGGCCAGCTGCTTGTCATCCCTCAGGGGCCAGCTGAGATGGCTTCTTCTGGGGCTGTCTGGCTATTTCTTATTATTTTCTCCTGAGACTGATGTCCAGCTCCACACAGCAGCCAGCACAGCCCAGATCCTATTCTGGCCACAGTACGCCTTTGATTAAAATCTTTCCATGTTTTTCAGTATCTTGAGGACAAAGTCCAGATTCCTCAGCTGGGCTGACAAGGCCATTTCGACAGAGAGGAGTAGAAGAGGAGAGATTTGGTGGGAGCACGTGAAGGGCTCCCATCTGTGATCACATTTTCTCATGCAGGGGGAGGCAAGGTCATCTGCAGAGAGTGCTGGGGTGGAAGGTGAGCACAGAGGGGGTGATGCTGGCTGTGAAGAGGGTGGAGAGAACCTGAGGGTCACTGCGGGAGCCAACCAGGGAGATGCAGTGTAACCTGGTTGAGACTGGCAATGAGGAGCTCATGGGGACACAGGCCACCCCGCTGTGCAGATTTCTCTAACCACCACTCACTGAGGGGGCAGGTGCAGCGAAGGTGGGTGGGTGGAGTCATCCATGGAGGGGTTTTGCTGGGAGGGTGGGACCAAAGGGCAGGGGGGCTAAGGAGTTGAGGAGTCTGTCAGAGAATGGCGGAAATGATGGGCCACAGAATCTGAGCCAGATGGGGAGGGAGGTGTAGATAGGAGGGCAGCTTTAGGCAGAGCTAGCAGGGAGGCCAATGGATTGCTGGATATAGACCCGGAAGAGGGCCAATGAAATGATCTGAGCAGGCAAGCAGGAGGCAGAAGGCGACGGGAAGTCTGCATTAGTGACGGAGGAGGTAGCAGCGTTTCTGTCTGTGCCTTGTCCCAGCTCTTACCACTGCTTCTCTCATAGTTGGGTGTACAGATGCCGACTTCCACTACTCTATGGAAGAGGCCTTCTGGGGGCACGAGCTGTATTCTCCAGCTCACATCCTTTTGGGAGAGCCTGACGCTGGCCTTGCCCATGGTAGCTGCTCAGTCACATGTTTATGCTGTGTAACCTTGCCCCTCATTCCGCATTTTCTAGGCCTCTGTGTTTCTGTTTTCTTTTAGTTTCTTAAAAGAAATATTGTGAAAGAGTCTAACTGTCCGCTGAAAGGAGAGGGATTTCTCTCCATATTACAGGATAGAAGGGTGTTCCGTGGTCCTCTGACAGCCTGGGACTCGGTGGTAAGAGAAGATCCTGCTTGGGAACCCAGGAGGAATGAGAATTGCTGGGGCACAGGGTGCAGGGCCTCCAGGGGGAAAGATCCAGGCCAGCAGTGGACAGTGGCCTTCCCTTCCCTTCCCAAAGACAGGTGGGTCTCTCCCTGCTCCTTGCACACACATCGCCATCTGACCAAGCCAGAGTCCTTCATCCATCCTACAAAGCACCTACTATGTGTCAGGCCATGTTGGGAACTAGGAAAACACAGATGAACAGGATCCAAACCCTGCTGGGATGAGCTCACCTCCTGACAAGGAGACAGGTACACAAAGAACAAATTGCAGACTGGCGTCTACAGTGGAGGCTGCTGGGGACACAGAAAAGGGGCAACTCACTAGTTTAAGGGGAGACGGTCAAGGAAGACTCCCCAGAGAAGTGGGTCTTGCAGGACAAGAAGGCAAAGAGAACAGAACACACAAAGCTGGAGGAAGTGAGAGATCAGGCTGAGTTCGTGGCCACAGTCCAGAGTGGCTGCGCACGGGATTCTTCAAAGGGAGAGAGACCAAATCCTATGAGGGAGGCTGTGAGAGGTGGGGAGCCACAGAAAGACTTTAAGGTAGGTTTTCATTTTGGTTTCAGGACGATCACTCTGGCTGAAGCGTATGTGTGCATAGGTGCAGGGGGAGGAGGGTTAAGGGGAGAAAAGAGTGAAGCCAGGGAGACTAGCAAGGAGGCTGCGGTACAATTCAGGCAAAGACAAAGACACGGAGTCCCTTCTAGGTATTGTGGATGAAGCTATGGATCACCAGACAAATACTTATGGGGAAATCAGAGGAGTTGGTGATTTGTTCTCAGATGCAGGTGAGGAGAGAGTGAAGGTGCCATCTGGGGGCTTCTCTCCTGGATGCCAGGTACATGGGGCAGCTGCAGATGGGAGGAGGAGCTGGCTCAAGATGGAGAGGAGGGGATTGAATTTGGAATGTGTTGACTGTGAGGCACCTGTGGAGCACCAGGAGGAGTTCCTGCTGCCTTTGGTGTCCGTGGACATGCCCTGTCCTTCTCTCCCGGGGCTGCCCAGGCTGCTCCCTCCCTCCGCTTGTAGCACCTGCCCCTCACCCATGCGCCCAGCATTTTCTGCAGGAGACATCGTTGACCCTGCCTGCTGAAAGCAACTTCCTTTCAGCCAGAGCCTCTGTAGCTCTTTTAGGGGCAGGTCTTGCTTCCTGCCTTCTGGATTTCCTCCACTGGGTTTCCCATAATCCTGTGAAGCAAGAAGTGGTGCAGCAGCAGCCGACACTTGAGCACTGCCTCCTGTGGATCTTCATCATTGCCACCCAGGAAATGGCACCGCAGATGGCGGGAGAGAGCCCTTCCGAGGCTGACTCCAAGCAGGAAATGACTCCTACAGCCCCAGGGGCTTTCAAACACCGCTCCCATGTCCTAGCTGGTGCAGCAACTACACAGACGCAGGGTGCTCTGGTTTCAGAGGTGGGGTAGGAGCTGCAGGAGTCAGCTGAAGGGAGACAACGCAAGGGAGGTGCAGTCTCCAGAGAAACCAGCTGACAACACCCCAATACTTAAAGGCCTCATCTGGAACCAGCACATGAGGTCCCCCACCCTCTCCCTGGGAACAGAAATCCACCACTTCCCACAGCTGAGGATCCACTCGACCTTCTCTCTTCCAGCTCCTTGATACCTAAGAGGAGAAACCAAGGGTTTGGTGGAGGAGACCTCCAAGGCACCATTGAAGAGGCGGAGGTAGGAGTGAAGAGCTAAATGGGGTGTGGGGGGTGGGGTAGGAAGGAGGGTCTCTGAGGTGCGATATCGAGGTGAAGACAATGACAGTGACGATAGCAGCCACCATTTTATTGCACATCTAACAAGCCCAGTCCTTCCATCCACGATGACATTGAATCCTCACAATTGATGACCACAACGATGACCATGACCACGACCCTCAAGAAACTGAGGCTAGGGAGGCTAAGTCGCTTGCCCACGCCCCCCCCCAGCTTCTAAGTGCTCCGGGGGGGGATTCCCATCTAGGTCTGTCTCATTCCAGAGCCCATGTTTTTCCCCCTTTGCCACCAGTTACTCTCCTCAATGGACGGTCACTGGTGCCGTCTCCGGGCGGGTCAACAATCCCCCTGCAGAAATCCCTGACCAGTGTTACAAGACAGGGTTGGATGTGACGGGGGTTGGAAATAGAGGTCAAGAATCTTCAGAGACCCCAGACACAAGCAGTTCCATGGACACAGACACCTTGTTCCAAGGAGGCACACACTCAACTTCCCGTGGTGTGGATGTGTGGGTACCCATGGGCTCTTAATCACACAGCATGCAATCCCAGAGAAGGGCTGCCACAGCCCTGGGGACATACCCACACTCACGCAGCCTCAGTCTCCACACACATGCTTGCCCTGGTGTGGTCTGGGGACGCTGAAGCAGGTCATGGGAAGGAGGGCTCTGCTCTGTCAGATGAGGCTGGCAATGCTGGATGTGGTCTCATGACGCCGCCCAGCAGACAACTGTCCTGAGATGCTGAAGATGCCGCCGCTGCCACTTGGGCCACTGGGAATAGAGGGGGTGGCTGCAAGGATGGGGGGGCAGTGTCCACTCACGCCCACCTGATACAGCAGCAAGCCCAGCAGCAAGAGCGAGCCTGAGGCAGCCAGTGCGATGCCCACAGACAGCATGGCAGCCAGTGGCTGGGCAGGGACAGGGGCAGTGGCCAGCCCGGCCAGGGTCAGGCCAGTGACCAGTAGCACAAGGCCGCTGAGCAGCACCATGAGGGCATCGGCCCCTCCTCCGCTGCGCAGGAGGGCCACATGGTGGGCCTGGCGTATGCAGTTCATGTCCTGCACAGCCGAGCTCATCAGTTGCTTTGCCAGCACCAGCAGGGCCAGCAGGCAGAGCACGGTGCCCACTGCGAGGCGCCACTCGCCCGAGCGGCTGCTGGTGGAGGACAGCAGTGCCACACCACCCGCCCCACAGCCCGCCACAAGGCCTACGGCCACGGTGAAGCAGAGTGCTGAGCGCCGTGGCTGCTGGGACCACCACAGCTCCACCTGTTCTGCCAGCACATCTCGGGGCAGTCCCCGGCCCCCTGGGGCTTGAGCCTCTTGTCCAGACATGACTTGGCCAGGCAGGGGTCAGGGCAGAAGGTCAGCGTCAGGGGTCAGAGGGTGCAGATCATGGCCTGGTGCCCCCACCACCTGCTTGTCAGCTACAGGTCCAGAGTCCTGTTCCTCTCACAGTCCCAGCTGTGGTCACCATCAGCTGCAGGGAAAGGGTCACAGTGTTACCTTCCCAGCCCACCTGCCCCTCATAGTCTCAACTGGAAGCCTTTGGGATGATCTCTGAGAATCCTTCCCAGTGTCCCCTGGAATCCCCCCTGGGAAAGCCCCCTCCCCAGCACTGTGCCTTGGGAATGCCTCTCCAATGACCCCAGGAGAGCTTCCTCCCCCACAGAGTACCCCCCAACCCTCCAGGGAATCCCCTCACCCAGCCCCCAACCTCTCTGGCTCTGGCTCTCTCAGTCGCCTGTCCCATCCTGGCTGGCCTGGCCAAGGGAGCTGGTGCCACAGTGGGACGAACAGCCAGAGATAAAGCCTCATTCAAGATCCGACTCACATGGCCTCAGCTGTCACCGCTGGTTCCTAGGGGGGAGTTGTAGAGAGGGAGGGCGCCTTATGACTTAACTCTTCTGGAACCAGCAGCCTGACCCTGAATCTTCTCTTAGGGCTCTCTTCCTTCTTTGTGGGCTAGGGTCTGACCCGAACACCCTCTCTCCCTTAACATCCCATCCAATCTCACAGCTGTAGCTTTGGCCTATAAGCTGCCAGTTCCCAAATCCCTCTCTCCAACCTGGATCTCTCTCCTGAGTCCATTGTCACCTTGACATCTCATAATCACCTCTCATGCAACAGGTTCCAACCCAAGCTTGTCATCTTACCCCAAACCTGCTCCTCCTCTGGTGCTCCTTACCTCAGGAAAGGCATCACCACCCTCTCAGCCACCCAGGCTCGACTCTTCCTCCTCCCTCTGCCGTACCTCATCCACGGCGGGGAGTCCAGTTCCCTGCTCTCAGCCCTGCTTCTGCCTCTTCACCCCAGCTCCCACCTCCTCCCTGGTCTTGCTGCTTCCCTCACTCTTCTCCACCCTCCCCTGCCATCCTCCTCCAGGATTTCTCTAGAGTGGAGCCAAGGGAGAAGCCCTGGATTTGAGACCCAGCTCCAGTTCTGCCCACTGGTGGAACCTGGACAAGGGACCCAACAGCAGTTACTCATTTGAGCTGTCCTCCAGAGGACAGTCAGCATGACTCACGCTGGGCAAAAGTAAAGCAGACATGGTCCCTGCCTTCAAGGGGCCCCAGTCTGCAGCAGGGGGCAGCAGCCAGCAGGTCCTGATCCTGTGCTCAGTGGTGGGTATGGGTTAATCAGCACAGGGCCCTGCAGAGCCCAGAAGAGGGGCTGGAGGGAGGATCAGTGAAGCCCGTGGAGTTCACCTTTTAAAAAAAAATCCTATATAAAGAGGACCGGTAAGGGGATCTCAACCCCTGACTTGGTGTTGTCAGCACCACGCTCAGCCAGTGAGCTAACCGGCCATCCCTACATAGGGATCTGCACCCGTGGCCTTGGGGTTATCAGCACCACACTCTCCCGAGTGAGCCATGGGCTGGCCCAGAAGTTCACCTTTTAGACTCTCAGTCTCTATCTGAAAAGTGAGGACAATAACATTTATCTTGAAGGGTGGGGGAAAGTCACTTGACATCTTCATTTGAGAATTCCAATGAGGACTAGAGGCTGCATAGATGCTCAAAGCACATGTTTTGCATAAATGAACAGGATGTTACCCCTCCATAGGATATAGCGCATACGTCCTGGATCATTCTAGACATATGACTATGTGGCTAGGCACAGGTTACACCTTGATGAGGTATCTGTCCTCTGCAACTCCACTACAGGGGCTGCTCAGCACACTTAATGGAAGGAGCCGGTGCCAATGCCCCCAAGAGAGGTGGGGGAGGGGCCATGGGAGGGGCCGTGGAGTCAGTCCCAGCATTCCCTGGGCTGTGGCTTCCCTGGTCTGAAAGTGCTTGCGCAGGTGTGCCGGGATAGCAGCAGAAGGCTGGGGGTGGGGTGGAGGTTCTCAAGGGACGAACTGGTGGGAGAAGGTGGGAGTGGGGGAGCTGTGGGGCACTCACGAGAAGCCTGGATGTCCTGGATCCGATCTGAGCAGGCAGGGCCTGGTAGATAGGGCGCTGTTTCCGGGGAGACGCTTCACCTGCTTAACCTGCACTCAGGTGAGCCTGGGGGGAGGGGGAGTAACAGGTGTTGTTTCCAGAGCAGGGCCTGAGCCGATTGGCTGACGTGGCACTGCTCTTCTGCTGGGCAGAGGCATTCCTGGGAAGGGAGGGGCTTCTGTCAGCTGCTGTTAAGGTTGAGAACACAATTTGCAGACCTGGGCAGCAGGAAGAATGTTGTCTATCTACCCCAGAGCCTGGCCCAACCCAGCCCAAGCTCCAACCCCAAAACCTGACCCCAACTTCAGCTGCAGTTTCAAACCCTAACTAGAACTCCCAGCTCCCATCCCTGGCTGAGCTCCCAACCCCTGGCTCCATTTCCAAATTCAATTCCAGTCATACCTCAAAATCCAACCCCAAATCTGGCTTGAAATCTCAGCTCCAACTCCTAACTTCAACCCAATATCTGGATTTAGTTGCTAGACCTCAACCTCACCTTCAGCCCCAACCCTGACTCCTGTTCCTGAATCTAGTCCCTGAAATCCAACTCCAACCTTAAATCCATCCTCAGCCTCAAAGTCCAACACCAGTTGACCCCCAAACCCAGCCCCAGTACCTCCATCCCTTGGTCCTTTCCCCTGGGCGGGGCCGCTCAAGCCCTTTGTTCATTCTCTCTCAAAACCTCAGGTGCCTGCCTGACTGTGGCAGGCCTGCTCCAGGAGGCTGGATCCTGCTGGGGTAGGCGGAATTCAAGCAAATTGGGAAGAGAGGTCAAGGCCTTTCAGGTGGGAAACGGGAGCTCCCAGAATAAACACTTCAGCTTAAAATGCCACACCCCTCACAAGGCTCTCAAAGTCCCTGCCATCCACACCAGGCCAGTCATTTGCCAGTGGCACCCTGCCCTCCAGCCAGGATGAGTGCTCTTCAGTCCTGCAGGCTCGGCCCTCCACTGTGCCCTGCTGGTTTTTGAACCCAGACTTCCCTCTGCCCAGGATATTTACCACTCCCAGCATCAGTCTGGTCAACTCACATTCTTAAACTACCATTGTCACCTCTTCCAGGAAGCCTTCTCTGACCTGCAGGCTGGTTTAGGTGCCTCTTTGGTGCACCCACAGCCCCTGTGCCTCCCCTACAACTGCTCTTACTGCAATGTGCTTAATTGTCCTTTACTGACTTACCTGTCATCCCTTGCTAGACAGGTGGTCCTCAGCGAGTACAGGGATAGTGCCTATTAAGCTAACCATCATGACCTCAGTAGCCAGCACCTAGTAGCCAGCACATGGGAAATAATCAACAGAATCAATAGATATTTGTTGAATGATTGGCTGAATAAATGAAAGCGTGGATTGACAGCTGGGGGAGGGGAGTTTGAGCAGGGAGCATGTGAGATGAATCTGGACAGACAAGTTTGTCTGAGGCTGTACAGGCCTTGAATGTCATGGGGAGGTATTTGGGCTAAGTATGAGGCCAATGGAGGATTCTGAAGTACAAAAGGGACCTGCTCAGGGCTCTGCTTCTAATAGGTGAATCTGGCATCACACACAACCGAGATTGGCAATGGGGGCGCTGGTTGGAGGGGACATAGGCTGTGGCTTATCTCCTGGCCTAGTCCCTTAGAATGCCTCTTGCTCTCTGCTTCTGATGTGTGTGACACAGAAAAGAAAAACAAAAGCAGAGTTATATTTCTACTATCAGCTCATAAAATAATTGTGCGTGACCTGCCTGTGCTCCTCCTTGCTTTGTTCTGTGGAGAGGACTGGGGGGCCGGTCATAATTCCAGAACAGCACTGTCCAATAGAAACACAACGTGAGCCACATATGTAACTGATAGGCATATTAAAAACTTAAAAAGAAACAGGAGAAATTAATGCATTAAAATTAACATATTTTATTTAATTCCAAAAATATTTTAATATACACCTTATTAATGAGCTATTTTATACTTTAATTTTGTATAGTCTTGAAAATTCAGTGTGCATTTTATACATACAGTGCATCTTGGCTAAGGCTGGCTGTAGTTCAAATGCTCAGTTGTCACATTTGGCTTGTGGCTGCATTCTTACTGGATGGCACAGTTCTTGATGTCCTTCCCCTCCAGAAAAGGTTAGAGCAGGCTAACCACTGTGGGGCAGCTGGATTGGGGGACAACATTGTGGCATTGCACATGTTCATCCTACCACTCTGCAAAGCATTATAAAGGTGTCCCCTTTATAACAAAGGGGCTCAGAGGGGCAGAGGAACAGGGGGCCTGGCAGGGCTCACTAGCTGTGGATTCCTCTTGTACACATTTGACATTTCTTTACACTCCTGGTCCCAAGGAGGGTCCAGTCCCAGCCAGACCCATGGTCCAGCTGTCCGAGGCAGAGCTGGAGAGGGGACCCATGAGATTTTCTGTCCTTTTTGGGTGGGAGAAACAGAGCCTAAAAGCTTCCTCAGTTTAAACATTGACTGGCAAGTCTTTGTTCTAGTTCTGGGCCTTATCAAATAACTTGGAGTTAAGGGCAGGTTCCTCACAGGGCTGTTGAACTCTGTCCCCGAAGCAGAGGGTGCTGGGTAGATCAGATGGGAAGGTCAGAAGGAGGAGGTGGCATTGGGTACAGAGTGAAAGGTGTGGACTGGAACTGCCCTTCTTCCCAGCAACCAGAATTATATTTTGTGACCCACCCCTATGACTATAGTTAATTACATATAGAGGTGAGCTCCAGACTCAAGCTAGGCCAAAAAGATTCTCTTTTTGCAATTTAAAATTGGACTGGAGATTTCATTTCAGCTCGGAGCCTTCTACTAATGAGAGATGCTAAGGTATCCTTCTGCCAGCTAAGCTGGCAATGGCAAGCTGCTCTGCAGAGAGGGGCAAGGACAAGAGAGGGAGAGGGGTCCAGCAGTGTCCCAGGCCCTGGTTCAAGTCCTTCTCGAGGCCTGGTTGCATCTCTGCCATGGGATTCCATGAGACACCCCTAGAGCCAGGTAATAAATTCTCCTTTTTTGCTTAAACTGGCTAGAGTTGGATTCTGTTACTTGTAGCCAAAGAAGGGCACCCGTGGCTCCTCTGTTCAGAACTAGAATCTCATAGTCCTAATTTTAATACATTTAATGTGTTAATACATGCTGTAGGTGCTTAGTAAGTGCTAGTTTACATTTCCTGCTCCTGCCATATCCCACCATGTGACACATACTAGATGAGCAGTAAAAACAAATTCTCATACACTGCTGGCCATAGTATGTTGTCAATATTGCTAGTCCCTCCTGTTGCTTGGCACACAGCAGAATTACTTCCTTGTAAATCTGCTCCCAGCCCAGCTAAGCTCAGAGGAGTGTGGCTGCATCTCAGACGCACTCAAAGCATAAGCAGGGCCCTGATGGTCTAGGGAAGTTTACCCCAACAGAGCTCAGTAAGAATGAACCCCACTCCTGGTCCTGGGGTGCTTTCTCCTTTCACCTCCACTCCGTATCTAGAGCGATGATGGTAAGGGGGTCCTAGCTGGGCATGCAGATATTCTCAGGCCCACTCAGGCACCTACTGAGAATAGCTGATTGGCAATGGCTGGCCATACTTTGTGTAAGAAGCCATGGGGAAAGGTAGATGTTGATGCAGTGCCTTCTGCAGGGCAGGATCTTCAGTGCTGAGAGAATAGGCTGGCAGAGGAGGTTCAGTGATGCCAAGACTCTAGAAGAAGGGGAGGGGACCCAATGGATGTCTGAGGCCCAGAGAGAGGAATTCTGGAGGCTCTCACACCAGGGTGGCATGGCAGCCCCCAAAGGCACCAGCTGTCACGCCAGAATTGAATGATGGACTGGAACCTGAACAGCAAGAGCAGGATCCATGCCCCTACAGTGCTGCAGGAGGAGGTGACTTCCAGGCCCATTCCACCAGTGAGGGGTCAAGTAGCTGAAGAGAGCTTGTGAAGGATGAGGTGGCACCCGTGGGCTGAGTGCCTCCAGCCTCCCATAGAGTCAGAATAGACAAAGTGGAGGGAGGTCTCAGATGCAGCAGCCAGAAAACCAAGGCTATCCCACTGGTGGATGTAAGGGCCCTGGAGAGAACATGGAGAGGCAACCAAGACTGTACCCCTGGCCTAAATTTCCTAGCAAGAAGCTGTGTTCACCCCTGTGCAGCCAAGACAACACCCTGCTGGTCAAGGTGCCAGGTTCTGCTGGGATGGGTCTCTCCTTTGGCCTGGACTTCCTCCTCCTCACCAGCTGCACAGCAGCCAGGTCTAGGTTAGGCTTAGGTTAGTGTAGTTTGGGGGGTTTCAGCTCCTTTTATTTCTGGCTTAGATTCTCTGGGTACCAAGTTCTTATAGCCCCTGGCACTTGGCCCGTGGTATTTTGTTTGGGCGTGTCTCCCATGCAGTGTGTAAGAGCACGGCCTCTGGTGTCCATGGGCAGACGGGGCTGCAAACATGCCCTGCCTGTGTGACCACGTGCCAGTTACTTTACTCCTCTTTGGTTCTGGTTTCCTTGTCTATAAAGCTAAGGTCCACCGTGCATGTGAAATGCGATTTCTTGGTTCTAAGATATTTTTCAGTTAAAGCATCTATCATGTGAATGTTGATACGTCCTAGCCACAGTGAATTTCCTTCCGGTCCTCAGAGTGCTCCAGCTTCCTCTGTGTCTTTCTTCTTCCTGCTCATTCTCCTCCCCTTAGGCTTGGCTGACTCCCAGCTGTCCTGAAGTAGAAGAGTTCACTTCTCTCTCTCCCCCCTGCCCTCATCTTGGTCCAAACCACTGTCCTCTCAACCTGGACACCCACAAGTTCCTCCTAATGGGGACCCTCGCCTCTGCCATTGGGGCCCCTCAATCAATTGCCTACACAGACACCCAAGTGAACTTTAAAAACAGATGGCTCTTGCCTTCCTGGAACTCTCCTTGTAGGAGAGGCAGGCATCAAGCAGCAGAGCACAGCTGGTATAGTGAAGGTCAGGACCGAAAACAATATGGCGGTGTAATTTAGATGTTGGGAGCAGAGACTGTCTTCCTGAGGAAGTGACATTTCAGCTAAGATCTGAAGGATGAGTAGAGGTTCACAGAGTGAGGTGTGGGGCAAGGGCATTTCTGGCAGAGGGAATAGTATGTGGAAAGGGTCGGAGGCAGGAAAGACTTTGGCCTTTTCTAGGAACTGCAAGGAGGCCAGTGTGGCAAGAGCTTGGGAAGCAGCAGGCAGTGACTCACAGCGGCTCAGTGCTGGCCTCTGGACAGCCCCCTACCTCTCATGGGCCTTCAAGGCCCTGCATGATCTGGCCCTGCTGATCCCCTTCCCGCCCC